TTTTTTTTTTCCCCCCAAACCGGGGGGGGGGGGGGGGGCAGCTGCCCCCCCTGCCCCCCCGGAGGCTACGGCCATGGACCGATTTTGATGAAATTTTCGGGAACTGTCAGAAGTGGTCCAAGGAACAGATGATTAGTTTTTGGTGGTGATCTGGATCAATAATCAATTAATAATCAATAATAATAATAAATTGCTGCCTTGGCGGAGGTCTGCGCTCTCGGAGTGCTTTTCTAGTTTTTTTTGGTTATTGGAGACTCAATGTCCTCTTCATTATATGCTTGTATGCTTCTAGTTAATCTTTTTAATAAAAGACCATTCAGGTAGTTGTAGGAGATGTAGATTGCCAAAATGCGACGTTTTATCTAGGCCTATATATCCAACTAATCAGTGAAGAAATTGAAAGAAGAGAAAAATGTTGACTATAAGTCCCGTAGCCAGCCATTTCAAAGGAAGGGGTGTCATTTCCTAAAAAAAGAGGTCCTTTTACCATGAAATCCCCGTGTAGGTCATATAGTGCCCTTAGCGGACGACCTTCTTCTGGGGTTCGACACCCCTCTCGGCTACAGGCCTATTTATTTTGATAATTAAACAACATAAAAGATCACAGGAGCCGAGGGAGGTTAGCCCCCTACCCCCCCCCCCCCCCCCCACACACACACACACACACACGGAAACTTTTTTCAACCACGCCAGTACTAAAACAGGGGAACTACGGAGCCCTGCACACCATCTTTCAAGCAAATATATGGAGTAGTTAAAATATTTAAGCAAATGTTAAAATTACTGAAACATTCAATCACACCAAGTACATTATCCTTTCGTTATCCTTTCTCCTTGCAAAATTAAAGCTACCAAAAAAACTGGACAACTCCACATAAATGTTTATAGCAAAAATGTATTATCACTTTATCTTTATTATCATCATTTGTGAATCAAGAAATGAAATGAAATGAACGTTTCTTCAAAGTGCAATGTGGATCGGTGTATATTGTGGCTCAGTGTTCCAGTGTACGCGGACAAGGTCGTCCAATGATGGCCTGGGGCAGGTGAGTAAACTTCAGGTTGTTATCACGTCAACAAGATGCAAGGACACTGCATATCATAATTGGGGGAGAGGCATGCGAGGCTTTGCCCCATAAACTATTATTACATTGATTCTGTCCTCCGAAGTAAATGCATATTTTTTTCTTCTTAAACAAAAAAATTAAGGTATGAAATCGCTGAATGTATTTCAAACGTAGGTGTAGAAACAATATAACAATGAAATTTGGGTCTCACTCTCACACGACACCCCCGCGTTAAAACTGACAACATGGTGACGACAGCAACGCCCCCAGCCGACAGTCTAAGATTGGAAGTCTAAGAGCGGGCAATTGTGAACCTGTAATCGCCTTACATCACACATGGCAGCGGGATGGATAGTTTGTTTACTTGCACAAAACACCGAATGTTTCGTCTTTCTCCAGTGTGCTTCTGTGAATTCGACTCTTGAACCCGCTACGGACTCGCGACTCTTCAACCCGCTACGAACTCGCGACTCTTCAACCCGCTACGGACTCGTCGCTCTGGGAAATGTAGATGTACAAATAACACTAAGCTCTTAGCCCGGACGTCAAATAACCGACACAGGAAAATTGAATAGACTGAAATCCAAGCTACTGGAGATGGGTTAGTGCCACTATCATACTCTCTTTTCATTCCTGTCATATTCCTCTTATGCCCATATTTCTAGGTCGTTATTGAAAGTTGAATGCCCTTTGAGGCTAGAACCAAAACCTTCATATGCCCTATTTAGGTCACGCTTGTTTGGTTGTCGTGTTTCTCTTCTAAGGCTGATGTGCATTTTCTCTCAAGTGTGAGTGAGTGTTTTTCCCTTTTGAGTATTGTTTTTATGTACAGACACTTTTTTCAGCATATATACAACACCAATAACACGATAAGTGAAAAAATGCTTTACCTTTTAGCTTGAATCTTACAGAACTGATGAGTTCGAAAGTTCGAAAATCGGCATGATCGGGTCATTTTTATAAAAGTTATGCTGTTTTTTTTTTCACTTTTTTCCAGCATATATGCAACACCGACAACACGATATGTGAAAAAAAAATTTTACATTTGGATTGAAACACAGAACTGATGAATATTCATAGTACACAGGTCAAGTTAGAATATTGGCATGATCAGGCCATTTATATAAAAGTTATTCGTTTTTATTAAAAACTTTTTTCTGCATATATGCACCACCAATGATCAGTCTTACTGAAATACAGATTTAGTTCGAAAATAAGCTTGATTGGTTAAGTTTTGTTGAAGTTATGCCTTGTTTTTGTATATAAGTGTTTTTTCCTCAGATTTAATTCTTAGGCATGTTAACAGTCTCATTTTTTAACTAATTAGATATGTAAAGGTGTTCTTTTGACTTTTTCTGCATCTTAACAATATTGTTAGTTGATTATATAGAAATGATGGTAAACCTGTTATTGTGTATTTTGTAATAAAGTTTCAAAAATGGAAATAAACTCATATCTTTACAGTTTGTCAAATCAAGGAGTTATAACTCCTTGGTCAAATTCAATCATTCACTATGTTCAGAATCTCAGAATGCAGCAAATAGGACATTTGAAATTGTTCTATTGATATTTTTCCTATGTCAACAATTGAAAATTTTTTATTTCTTTTTACAGGACAAAGAAGATGACTAGCGATCCCAACAAGACATGGACTTCACTCTTGGATCCAAGCTAAGGTTAGTAAGATTTATCTTTTTGGGGTGATGGTATAGGTAAATTGAAAATATCTAATCTTGTTTTTCATTTCTTTTTACAGGACAAAGAAGATGACGTGCGACCCCACCCGGACATGGACTTCACTCTTTGATCCAAGCTAAGGTTAGTAAATTTTATTTTTTTGGGGTGGTGGGATGGTTCAATTGAATAAATCTAATCTTGTTTTTCATTTCTTTTTACAGGACAATGAAGATGACGAGCGACCCCACCCGGACATGGACTTCACTCTTGGATCCAAGCTAAGGTTAGTAAATTTTATTTCTTTGGGGTGGTGGGATGGTTCAATTGAATAAATCTAATCTTGTTTTTCATTTCTTTTTACAGGACAATGAAGATGACGAGCGACCCCACCCGGACATGGACTTCACTCTTGGATCCAAGCTAAGGTTAGTAAATTTTATTTCTTTGGGGTGGTGGGATGGTTCAATTGAATAAATCTAATCTTGTTTTTCATTTCTTTTTACAGGACAATGAAGATGACGAGCGACCCCACCCGGACATGGACTTCACTCTTGGATCCAAGCTAAGGTTAGTAAATTTTATTTCTTTGGGGTGGTGGGATGGTTCAATTGAATAAATCTAATCTTGTTTTTCATTTCTTTTTACAGGACAATGAAGATGACGAGCGACCCCACCCGGACATGGACTTCACTCTTGGATCCAAGCTAAGGTTAGTAAATTTTATTTCTTTGGGGTGGTGGGATGGTTCAGTTGAATAAATCTAATCTTGTTTTTCATTTCTTTTTACAGGACAAAGAAGATGACGAGCGACCCCACCCGGACATGGACTTCACTCTTGGATCCAAGCTAAGGTTAGT